CCCTGCTCGGCAGGGAGCCTGCTTCTCCCTCTGACCCTTCCCCCTGTCATGTGCTCTCTGTCTCTCTCATTCTCTCTGTCTCAAATAAATAAATAAAATCTTTAAAACAAAAACAAAAACAAAAACAAAAACACACAAAAATAAAAAAACTTTAAGTCCTCAATACTTCCGGACACAAAAAAATAGGGGTAATTATAGGCGGGCAGTAATTTTTTTTTCCCCCTCTCATATACTTGCACTTAGATTTAAATGGCTTTGCTTTAGGATTGCTGTCCTTTTTTCTTAGTGGAGAAATATTGTCTGTCTTCATGGAGCTGGGCCGCAGCAGTGGCTACTTCCTTGTCTCCAAACCCAACAGGTTCACTGGGCCCCACACCGTCTTAGAGAGGTCATAGAATGGGAGACGCCATGTTGGATGAACCTGCAATTGCCTCTTCTAGGAGATGGGGATGCCATGGCCAGAGCTCCTGGCAGCCAGAGGACTGATTTATTGGGTTCTCACTCTCCGACTGGTCTTGACACACCAACAGATAATTTAACTCAGATTGCTCCCCTCCATTCAGTCCTTAGTTGTACAAATGCGTGTGACAGGATTTTGTCATTATGCTAGTTATTTTGATCAAAAGCTTATTTTCCTTCCTGTGAAAGTAGTGAAAAACCTGTTGAAAACACAGAACAGTGTCAAGAAGTTGCAATGATTTTTCATAATTCCACCACCTGGATATATTCACATATTACATTTTAATACAGCTCCTCCCATGTTTACCACCACCCTTTTAAAAAACCATAATTAAGCTTTTATTACACACATAGGTTTATATCCTGCTTCTTTACTTTGTGATTATTACTTTATAGCAGATTATTTCAAAGTGATTTTTTCTTTTGAATAGCCCCTAAACGTTTGGTAGGCAGGGAAAATATTCTTATTATACTTTTTAGATGAGAAAATGGAATGTCAATGGAGTCAAATTTATTCAAAATTTTAAGCACTGCAGTCAAACATGCTGCCTGAGGTCACCCAGGTAAGTGGTGGGAACACAACTAGAATACAGGTCAGTCAACTACCAAACTTATGCTATTTACACACCTCTGAGTTCCTCTCTTCTTCCCCAAATCTTTACCAGGTATAGTAAGTTGACCTTCAAGAGGAGAACATGGCATTCGAAGCAAGGTTGGAAACCCTGAGATGGGAATAAGCAAGGCAAGGTCTAGTCCAAGAGCCTGAAATTCTAGACAGTTTATGAAGATAGGGTTTTGATCTCAGGGCACAGGGTGACAAACCCAAGTAGCACACCCAGCAGGGTCACAGACTTAGATCCAGCATGGAAGACAGTGGAGAGTATTTCTACTGCAGCTCTGTATAAATGGTGGAGATTGGGCTAATAAACATTGCATTAGCTGTGAGGAGTGTGTTATACTAATGTAACATCTTAAGTGGGGAAAACTGGGTGTAGGCTCTATGGACAGACTCTGCACAACCTCTACAACTTTTCTGTAAATCTAAAACTATTCTAAAGTGAAAGCTTATTTTTAAAAAAATATGAGTGTGTATCAGACCCAACCAAAGAGGGATGGTATTAAAGGCAGAAGGACTTGGAGGAAGCATGCCATGTGAAGGTGAGGGATTTGGTGGGGTTGGAGTGGACTGGGCCTACATACACTTAAGTGAGCCTGATTGCCAGGCTTGGATCTCCATAAGGAAGGCCTTTCTTTTAGGCCAAGCTTCAGAGTGTTAGGATTTATTCTGTAGGAAATGAGAAGTCATTTGAAAATTTTCACTAACACATTCATGTTTGAGTTCATTTATTACAAAGGTACAAATCAGCAAAAGGGAGGAGGCTGTAAGAGAGAGGTTGGGGGTAATGAGCTCAATGGGGAGGCTGTTGCAATACTCTGGGGCAGGGGTGCTGCTGCTTTGAGCCAGGCAATGAGCTAGAAGAAGAGGGTTGTGTGGCAAGGCCCATTGGGAGGCAGAGCCCTTCTCGCAGCTGAGCTTAAAACTCTAGAAGGACAGGGTGTTATTCCAACTGCTTTTTCCTGCCTCCGTTCTCCATTCTCAAGACTGATTACTGTCCCAGTAGACAGACAGGTAAAGCTTGTTTGATCAAGGCCAAGCAGAATCCCATCCCGGGTGCTTGCTCATGCAGGTGCTAGCACAGAGTGGAGATGGCCCTTCACCTGTGCCACGGAGGTTTGGCAGCACATGTTAGGAATTCAAGTCCTGCTGTAAGGCAGAGTATCTGGTACCTGGAACTGACATGTCATCATGAGGACAAGATCGCCTTCATTATGACTTTGTCAGTCATCGAGGTGGTCCGGGGACCTTCTTAACACCACCCCACCCAGGAGATGCAGCAGATTACCCATCAGGGTTAAGCAGCTCCAATGCCTGGGCTAACCAGTTATGGAGATCAGATGCAGGCAGCCCAAATACACATCATGAGTCCCCTAGTCCGTGTCAGAGGGTCCAAAGAATGTAGGGAATCGACACCTTGACTCTTTTTGTCTGGGTTTGTCTCTTCCCTTTGACCAGCATTCTAATCCAGATGCAGGACTTGATCCTGGGTCCCAGTGCTGTTTCCAGGACCCAAGGGGAAAGAGCCATGAGCTTTCCTTCTCACTATGCCAGTTCCCAGAGTGTGGCATCTTTGATGTCCTTGAAGAGGACTTTGGGTAGATTTTAACTTTGCCCTTTACTGCAGTGCCCCTCAAATTAACTGGTGGTGGCTGTGAGGAGCTTCTCAGAGCACATGGCCATGCTCTTAACTAAATGATTCATTCATCACTGCCAGGCATCCTATTACTTAGGATGGAGTGGGTCTTACTTGGTATTGTGTCCAAAGTGACAGCCAGAGTTTCTAGGTTCCTTTTAAACTGCTTTTACAACCATGTATCTCATTCTGATAGTCCTGCTTTAGGCCTCAGGGTTCTAGTATCTTCTAGGTGGCATGGTCCCACAGATTCTGCCACTGTAGCCTCATAGTCAAAGCTCGGAGTGCAGAGCCTGCTGCAGATGTCAAGGCTAAGGGACACGCTGGGAGAGCAGGCGTGTCCTTAGGTAGCACTATTGGTAGCTTCTTTAGGGCACCTGGTGACATTTCTCCACAGAGGGATAGTTCTTCTGCTCGGCCTCACTAGGAAACTTGTGGGTTTTCTCCGATGAAGAGTAGATGCTGCCCACAGCGGTCTGCTTCTTTAACGCCTTGCTGCTTAAATGGTAGTCATGGATCATCCACAGCAGCCTCACCTGGGAGCTTGTTAGATAGGAATAATCACAGGCTCCAGAATCAGAAAGTGCATATAAAATCCCTGGATAATTTGTGTGCATATTACAGTTTGAGGATCCCCCGCTTTAATCTATAGCAGAGGTTTACAATCCTGGCTGTGCAGTAGAATCCCCTGGGGAGCTGAAATATTCCTATCTAGCCCACTACAGACCAATTAAATTCAAATCACTGGGGGTGAGGCCCAGCCCTCAATATGCTTTAAAAGCCTTCTTAAGAGAATCTAATATGCAGTGACCTAGAAGAACAGGGTTTCTCAATGAGGACCGCTGGGGAAGCATTACAATTTCTCATGCCTAAGTGCTGAGATCCTGATTAAGTTGAGATGGGGGCTGGTATCTGTTTTTTGTTTGTTTGTTTTTTACATTTCACCAATTAATGACTGAGAATCATTGGTCAGATAAAGATTTCATTGTGATTCCCCAGGCCCAGCAGGGATGCAGAGAGGGGAAGCAGTCCAAAGAACATCTGTGTCTCCTGTTGTTTCTGAGCCAGTAGCGGGGCTCCATAACCACCTCAGGGGGCCTGTCAGAGATGCATCAGGCTATGGGAGAGACTGTGCAGGTTCAGGAGGATATGGCAGATCCAGAGCACATGTAGTCTTGCCCTATACCTGTACATCAAGGAAAATTATGAAATTTGCCCTACAGTGAAGACAGGCAGGGAGCTCTTGACCCCATTTGCAGTAGGCATCAGGGAGCAAGACAAGCCACACATGGGGGTCTTTGTTACCTGCTTCACTGCTGAGCCCCATCCTGCCTCGGGGGGCAGCGATGGGTGAACTTAAGGGGCCCTGTGACCTGGGCAAGTCAAAGGAGTAATTACAGAAAGAAGACACTTTGTGGGAGACATGGTGACATGACCTCGGTGAGTGGACAGAATAAAATGAGACAGAAATGTTCATTCTAGAAACAAGTTCTTACCAGTTGGTTTTATTTTAAAGATGTGGCAAGTCCTCAAGTTCCACATGAGCTGATGGAGAAAGTAGAACTGGCTGTCACACCTTTATTCTTTCTAAGGCTTTAAGATGGCTCTGAGTCTCTGCGACGCTGAGGGGCCTGCTGTCCTCCTAGCTGCCTGATTCAGGATCCCGGTTGGAGAGGCAAGTTCCTGAGGTGCACACAGGTGCCCGTTCTGTCCCTCACACTCCCTTTTTCCTTCACAGCTGGCGACGTGGGACTCAGAGAAAGGCCTGAATGGCAGCCTGCAAGAGAGACCCATGGGCAGCCGCCTCCAAGGACTGACTCTCAAAGTGGTGACTGTCTTGGTAGGATCACGGGCATATTGGGGAGCTTCACCATTCAGGCTTTTGAGTCAGAGGCTTCTCTCTGTTCAGCTTAATGCTGTGTTTGGAGAGAAGGGGATGTTGATTAGTGGCTTGAGTGTTCATATGGCCTTTCTGGCAAATGATTTTACAAATAATGAAGAAGAGTAAGTTTGGAGATTCTGCCCCAGGGCCTTTCGCGGGAGGTGACTGGGCTGCTCTAGAGAAGGACCTCTAGAGCCACTGCTAAGCTTTCAAGCAGGCATATCTCTATTTGTTCCTGGATGTAAACAGTGTCTTGACCTACTGATGGTCCTTAGGAGAGCTTTGCTGATAGGCAGAGTCGCCAGAAAGATGCTTGGAGGAGGATACTCTTCCAGCACCCAATCCCACTGATGGCCCCACGTGACACAAACTTCATAACCAAGACCCTTTGTTGCAATTTTTCTGCACGGTTGTCCTGGAATCATAGACTTTTACATCTTTAGGAGACCTTAGAAGCATCTTCCTGTCAATTTCTTCCTTCACTTTTTCAGGGCTCTAGGAGACATTTTCGATTTACCTCTTATTAACTGTTCAGACATGGTTCAAATGTCCGCTCTGTCACATGAGGCACTGACATCTCCTTGGCTCTAGAAGAGCCTTTGGCAGCAGTGTTCCTGCATTTCCTGTATGCACATCACAGAAAAACATTATACCATAACCCCCACACCCCCAATTAAACTAATGAGTTATATTCTCTGGGGCTGTTTGCCAAAAGCCCCATTCCTGTTCAGTTTTATAGGATTGTGGTGGGGAAGGCTGAGGTATTTTCCAGAGGATCACATGCCCTACAGGAGTGCATAGGACACAACACAAAATGTGTGAATGTGGCTTTGGGCTCGGAAACTGTGGGGTTTAATTCTGTCCTGACCTTTGACATATGGTGTGACCTTCTTCCATGAATCAGAATCCATTTTCTAGTACAATCTGATAGATGTAATGCTGTCTTCTCTCAATCTGATATCATAGAGCTTTTACTGTCGTTCTTTATACTGGATGAGAAGTAACCACATTTCTTATGTGGGTCCTGAAGACTTATGGCATTTCCTAAGGACAGAGTCCTGAATGTCACAAATAAAGGAGTGAAAACAAATCATGTCATTCTGGCAATGGGATTCTGAGCAGAGGCTGGGATGACATCACACAGGACAAGTAAATCTCCATTCCTCCATCAATATGCTGGTTGGAGGGATCTTCCTATCCACTGTGCTCTGAGTGTCCATAAACTGCTTTAAAAAAAGGGCAGGGATGTTCAGACTGCAGGCCTAAATTGGGTAAATACATGCCCATGTTCACAAACATTCTAAAGCTATGATTCATCAGATTGGTCTCTCCATCTACCCTGGAAAGATGTGTGTTAATGAACCTGTTATTTAATTGAAGAACATCCATTCTGTTGTCCTCAGGAAGAGCCTTTCGTGATGGTGGCTGAGAACATCCTTGGACAGCCCAAGCGCTACAAAGGGTTCTCCATAGATGTCCTGGATGCACTGGCCAAGGCTCTGGGCTTCAAATATGAAATTTACCAGGCCCCCGATGGCAGGTATGGTCACCAGCTCCATAACACCTCCTGGAACGGGATGATCGGGGAGCTCATCAGCAAGGTAGGTCCCAAAAGCAGGACCATGGGGAGGGGAACCCTAGTCTGCCTCTGGGGTGATATCTAAATTTGGCCCATTAGGCATTTAGGACCTTGGAACTAGCTAAACAGATCACAGGTTACCACTCTTCACTCACTAGAGCTCTCTTTTCTTCAACCCACCCATCCCTACCATATCCATTTCTGTTCTTTTTTCTCATTCCCTGGCACTCTGTTTTCTTTCCGTGACCACTGCTGCCATTCCTTTCAAGCCTGTCCACTGAGCCTGCTCTGTCATACACCCTTCCTGCAACCCACCCCCACATTTGGGCTGAAATAGGAACTTAGTTCTCACGGGAGGTATGAGTGAGTGCTTATTCTTTTCTCCCTCATGGCCCACAGGTGGGATGTGTATATACAAGTACGTGTGTGTGCATGAGTGTGTGTGTGTGTGTGTGTGTGTCTGCATTGCTGTGTGTAAGCGATACGACATTCCCCAGCTCCTCAGATTAATTTCAAATAGTTACTCTTCCTCTCTCCTATAGAACCTGGGTCCTCATTGAGACTCCTGGTATGAGGCCAGTTCACTGTGTCCCCATCCTCACCCCTGTCATCCCATGACCTCTGGGTCATTTCCTAATAGTCATTTATGATGGTGGCATCTGCTCAAGCCCTCCCTCTCTAGTGTTGCTGCTGCTACCAACTTTGACATTGCAGACATCCCTGGGGCCAACCATGAGCTCCCAGTGTTTTGACTGCCTCACCTCCAGTGACCTTGGTTTGTGCTCCACGTCAGTGCCTGTACCCATGCATTTTGTCAACATCTTATGTGTTACCGTCACTGTCCCACTCCAAGACTATGACCTGTTATCCTTCTGACTCTTTTGAACCTTTGCTCCTAAAACACAAGTCCTTTGCTTTATCAACCCATAAAGGCAGACACAATCTCTCCAATTTCTCCTAAGCTTTAAAAAAAAACAATTTTCTTGCGGTATTAATTTATATATAAAATTCACCCATTTCGGATATACAAGTCAATGATTTTTAGGAAATCTACTGAGTTATGCAACCATCATCATAATCTAGTTTTAGAATAATTCCATCAACCCAGTGAGATCCCTCACACTTACAGTTAATCCCATTTCCAACCCCAGCCCTAGGCAACCATTGATCTATTTTCTATCTCTATAGATTTGCTTTTGTGAACATTTAATGTAGATAGAGTCATACAATACGTGGTCTTTTGTGTCTGGCCCTTTCCACTTAGCACATGTATTTGAGGTTCATCTTTCTTTAAGATTTTTGCATCCTTTCCTGCCTGGTGTGGCCTCGGTGTTTGACCAGATAATCCCGTTCCCTTCATCTTTTGTGATTCTCTTTGTTCTTGGTCTCTTATTGTACTGAAACCCTGACTTGATTATATTATCTACCCTCTGACTCTGACATCCAAGTTGCTGCATACAAAATCACAAATTTGCCCAGATGGGTATATGGACAATGTGTGGCCTCCAACCTCAGCTAGGCCTTCAGGACAGCCCAAGTTCCTTAACTTGTCCTTTGTTGGACCCCTTGGCTATATCCCTTAGAGACTGTTTCAAAAGTTTATCTTTCTCTTCAAGCAACCTAAAAGTCTTCTCTCCTAAATTAAAAAAAAAAAAAAAAGTGCTCCTATATTAGGCAAAGAAATGGAGATTTGTGGGCTTGAAATACTACTTCAGCTACCTATGAAATTCACATCTGCAGACACCTACTCTAACCTCCAGGTTCACAGTTGGGAGTGTTTTTCCCTATGTTCCAGGTCACCCCTTTACTTGTGTCATAAGTCAATCCCCTTGTGCGTCTTCTGGACCTGGCTTCATAAATTACTTTCCCTTCTTCCTATGTTGTAAACCTATCCTGCTCCACTAGAACTCTTCTTAGGCCTTATGTATGCTCTGAATGCTCCAAATCCTTAAAAAGAAATCCCTGGATCTTGAGGTTTTGAAAAGAGAGACAAGAACCAGAGATACAAATGTGACAAGTCTAAGAAGAGAGCTTCACCATCATTAACCTCCAACATTTTTTCTTTTTACTCTAGATATGTTGTTGGATTTCATAGTTTGTTGTTTTATTTTATTTTATTTTTTTGGATTTCATAGTTTAGAACATCAGTGTATCTACCCCTCTAGCCCACATATTAAATATGATAAAAATTTTTCTGATGAAGTCTTTATATGTATGTTTTCCCAACTTTATTTTTTTTAAGATTTTATTTATTTATTTGAGAAAGAGAGAGAGGGACAGAGAGAGAGAGACAGCAGGAGGGAGAGGGAGAGAGATTCTGAAGCAGACCCCTTGCTGAACACGAGCCCGACTTGGGGCTCGATCCCACAACCGCGAGATCATGACCTGAGCCGAAACCAAGAGTCAGCCGCTTAACTGACTGAACCACCCAGGCCCCCCTAAAATAAACTTAGTTTTGATGATGCCTCCTACTTAGAAGTCCAAGAGCCAAGATTGGATGATCATTGTATATTTTGGTGCTCTTGTGGTTGAAGTGAGGACTGCAGGCCCATTATTTCCTACCATCATCCATCTAAGCCTAATTATCCTAACCTCCACCAGTCTTGGCAGCTTTAATTTCACAGTCTAGTTCCATCTTAATAGAGTCTTCGCGTATTTTTAAAATGAAGCCCATTTTGGAAAGCAAAAATCTTGCAAGGTACTTTTGGGGTCAAAGTACAGCATGCCCAGAGAATCCCCGCCCAACATGGCTTTACTATATGAAGAATCAACCCATATATCTTAGAGGCCATGAATGAAGCGCCGTGGATGATCAAGAAAAGTAGATAACCCTTTTTTTCCTTGGAGGATATTACTCTCTGGCATAGAGTCTGCATATAAAACAACCAGGCACTGAGACATTAATGAGATTTCAAGTAGTTGTACAACTCACCATAACTTCCGAAGTACCTCAGGAAAGGGAGACATCCATGTGGGCTAATGGAAGTTTGGAGAGGCTTGATGGAAGTATAGGAAGGGTGCAGATAAGTCTAGAAGAAGATAGAAGGGACTTCTTGGTTGGGGGCAGGGACGGGGTAGAGGGAAATACCAGCAAAAGAAAGAAGATAGTGAAAGTTTGTGAGGACAAGAAAGTGAAGAAAAACTACAATTCAAACAGACCACTCAGTGTTGAATATTTTTTACAGTATTCAAGATCACAGGCTGTCACCTCTTGAATCCATTTCCTCTGGACAGAATAACCCAAAGAGTAGAGGGCAGGCCTTGCCCTAGGGTGGGACCCAGCAGGAAGCTGAGGACTGCTGTCTGATGAGTTGGTTTTGCCTTTCAGAGGGCAGACCTGGCTATCTCCGCCATCACGATCACCCCGGAGAGGGAGAGCGTTGTGGACTTCAGCAAGCGGTACATGGACTATTCGGTGGGGATCCTAATCAAGAAGCCCGAGGAGAAGATCAGCATCTTCTCTCTTTTTGCCCCGTTTGATTTTGCCGTGTGGGCCTGCATTGCAGCAGCCATCCCTGTGGTGGGCGTGCTGATATTTGTGTTGAACCGGATCCAGGCCGTGAGGGCTCAGAATGCCGCCCAGCCCCGACCATCCGCTTCAGCCACCTTGCACAGTGCCATCTGGATAGTCTACGGAGCCTTCGTACAGCAAGGTACGTTCCTGGGTTCCTGATGTTGCGGTATAGCCCCAGGGGCCTGGAATAACTTGCCCATTGGCAGAGTTCTTAGATGCGTTTTGGCAAAGTCATTTTAAATGCAATTTTATTTAATCTCTAGGGCAGTACAGGCTGCACCCAATTTCTCTGAGTAATATCAGATAGAAATTAAATGAAGTGACAAGGAACTCAACTTCAAAGCCTGATTCTCGCTTTAGATAAAATTAACTTTGGAGTTCTGCTTTGCACTTTTCTCCCCTCCCACATTAGGTTGATTGTTATGCACATGGGGTTGTCAGATGAAACTGAATCTTGCTTAAATTTGAAGTCTTAATAGGAAAAAAAAAATCACAATTGTTTTTGCAATCATCTAAGTAGTCCTCCATCCGTTCTTGAGATACAAAGTCTCCCTTCTCTGTGAAGTCTGGAGAGCACTTGGTAAGTTACAGGATCTTGCAGTTTTGACCCAAGCAACAAATTGCAAAGTTCCTAATGTGAGTGTTGGTCTTGTTTGCACCATGGCAAAACATGTATCGCCTGTTTGCAAGGTTATGTAAGAAGAGTCAGTGAGACGCTTTCTTCTGCTACCACCTAAGGGACCAAGGAGAAATAATTGGCCTCTACGGGGCAGCTACTGACTGCAAGTCACAGGCAATGATATCTGAAAATCCTAGGAAAAAAGCCATCCAGTGAGGGCTGAATATTAATAAAAGCAAGATCTCATTTCTGAGGTTTCAAAGAAAGCTAAGGAACCCTCCAGGTAGGAGGTAATTCTGTATTTACAGAATTCCTGAGACTACTCTCTATGAATTTGAAATTGGAAAAGGATCTTACATCAGGTTGCAGTCCTGGAAGTATGCAACAAGTGAGAATCTTCTAACTGGAAGATTTTGATATTCAGAACTCTATGCCCTTGGCATTTTGATTAACATCACATCACTAAAAGGCCAATCCTGGATTTTTTATATTTGATGGTCCTCCATCCCTTTCCAAGATTGGTGGTCTTTGGATTCTTTCCCGGGATTGTCACAGCCCTGCATAACCAGCCAGCAACTCACTTCCCTGCTCCCTAGCCCAACCCCAGTGGCGGTTCCCTAAGCCAGGCCGCAGGGTGGAGCTGGAGCATTTCTTTGGGGATGCGAGTGAGAGCAGAAGCCCAGGGCCAATCCATTTTGCTGGCCTCCTGTAGGTGGCGAATCCTCAGTGAACTCCATGGCCATGCGCATCGTGATGGGCAGCTGGTGGCTCTTCACCCTCATTGTATGCTCCTCCTACACAGCGAATCTTGCCGCATTCCTCACAGTGTCCAGGATGGACAACCCTATAAGGTAAGATCCATTCCTCCTTCCAGATCTGGGACCATTCAGCTCTGAGACGCTGTAAAGACAGAATGCAGCCCAGTGTCATGGAGGCAGATGGACTTAGATCCCAGATCTGCAGTTTGATTATCGTACTCTTTAATGCGTGAAGAACTTCACTCCTCTTGTAGTTTACTTCACACACAATTATATAAATGCATAAATGAATTAAATAATACTTCTCTGAACATTTAAATGCTGCTTATAAGACTAAGAAATCAAAACATTAAAAATTAACAAATTAAATTCCCTCAGGCATTTAAACGTTGATTACAAACTTATTTAATCAAAATTTTCTAAACATTAAATTAAAATTAATTAAGACCACAAGTCTCAGGTATTTTTTCAAATCTTCAAACACCTTAAAATTATTTTTAAAAACATGGCATTATCACAGTGATTAGAAAACTTATTCACTTATATTTATAAAATTATAAAATTTCTGAAGCCAGGGAATAAAAACATTTCTTTGTTTTACCAAAGTGTTAAAAATATGGCATGAAAGAATTTGTTCAACATAGTGAAAAAACTTGGGAATGCCTTTGTTTTAGGAGCAGATTTCCATGTACTATGTAAATTGCAAGTGAACTTGGGCAAAGTGAAGGGGTATTAGAAATGTGGTTACTGAAGTGACCAAAGGCACAGAGCTAGTCTGCATTTTCTCGGGTGCAATATCAGCTTCAATATCACCTCTCACTTGATCCCTGATTATACTGTTGTATAATTTCTCCTTTAATTCATCATACTCACTATCATTACATGGATTCTTTCGATCTACAGCACTAACTGGTCATCCATACTTAACCAGCTTCTATGGCTCCCAACTGCCTATTTAAAAGAGTCTGGACTCTGGCCAGGATTCAAAATTTAGTATGATGTTATCCAGTTTAATTTTTAGTTGGCATTTTTATTGAGATAATTATAGATTCACATGTAGTTATAAGAAATAATGCAGTGAGATCTCATAATATCCTTTAACTAGTTTCCCCCAATGGTAACATTTTGCAAAACTATAGTATCTTATCACAACCAGGGTATTGACGTTAATACAGTTGACTGATTCTACTCAGATTTCTCCTCTTGTACTCATTTCTCTGTGCATGTGTGTGTGTGTGCATTTGGTTCTACGCAATCTTATCCCATGTGTAGGTTTGTGTATTTACCACCATAGTAAAGATGCTAAAGAATTTTATTCCTGCAAGGATACCTTGTGTTTTCCTCTTATAACCACACACATCTCTTGTGTGTGGTTTCCTCTTATAACCACACACTGCTTCTTCCCCTCTAGTCTTGTTCTTAACCCCTGGTGACCACTGATGTGTTCTCCATTTCTAAAATGTCATTTCAGGGCACCTGGGTGGCTCAGTCAGTTAAGCGTCCAACTCTTGATTTTGGCTCAGTTCATGATGTCAGAGTCCTGGGATGGAGCCCTACTTCGGGCTCGTGCTCAGCACTGAGTCTGCTTGTCCCTCTCCCTCTGCTCCAACCCCCTGCTCACTCATTCTCTCTCTCTCTCTCTCTCTAAAATAAGTAAGTAAATAAAATCTTTAAAATGTTGTCATTTTAAATATGTTATATAAACAAAATCATAGCTTTTTGGTTGCCTTTTTCATTTAGCATAATTCTCAGGAGATTCATCCAGGTTGGTGTGTAAATCAATAATTCATTGCTTTTTGCTGCTTTGTGGTATCCCATGTACCACAGCTTGTTTAACAGTTCACATACTGAAGGACAGCTGGGTTGTTTCCACTTTTATGCAATTATGAATAAAACCACTATTGAATATTTGTGTGTAGGTTCTGGTGTGAACACAAGTTTTCATTTGTTTATGATACATATCCAAGAGTGCAATTGCTGGGTCATGTGGTAATTGCATGTTTTATAAGAAAATATGCTTTATAAGAAACTATCAAACTGTATTCTGGAGTGACTGCCATTTTATATTACTACTAGTGATGTGGGAATGATCCAGTTTCTTTGCATCTTTGCCAGCATTTAGTTTTTTCACTATTTTTTTTTTTATTTTACCATTCTGATAGGCATGGAGTGATAGCTCATTCTGGTTTTAATTTGTGTTTCCCTAATGAGTAATTGTGTTGAACACTTTCTCATGTGCTTATTGCTATCTATATAGTAACCTCTTTGGTGAAATATCCATTTATATATTTTACCCATTTTCTTTTTCTTTCTTTCTTTTTTTTTTTTAGAGAGAGAGAGCACACACCCATACTCAAGCAGGGGGGGAAGGGCAGAGGGAGAGGGTGAGAGAAAATTCTAATCAGGCTCCACCTCAGCATGGAGGCTGACTTGGGGCTTGATCTCGTGACCCTGAGATCATGACCTGACCTGAAATCAAGAGTGGGATGCTTAGCTGACTGAGCCACCCAGGCACCCCTTGCCCATTTTCTAACTGGATTGTTTGACTATTACTCTTATGTTTTGAAAGTTCTTTGTATATTTTAGATACTAGTTCTTTGTCAGACATGTTTGTAAATATTTTCCCAACTCTGTACTTTCTCTTTTCAACCTCTTAACAAGGTCTTTCACAGAGAAAATTTTTTAATTCCTGTGAAGTCCAATTTATAAGTTTACTCTTTTGTGAATCATACCTTTGGTGTCAAGTCGAACTCTTGCCTAATCCTAGACCATGAAGATAATCTCCTGTTTTTTTGTGTGTTTTTCCTAACAGTGTTGTAATTTTACATTTTACATTTTGGTCTATAGTCAATTTTGAGTTAATTTTTGTATAAGGTATGAGGTTTAAGTGAGTTTTAGATATATAATTATAATAATTATATATATGGTTTTGTCTATGGATGTTCAGTTGCTTTAGCATCATTTACTAAAAAGGTTATCTTTCCTTCATTGAATTGCTTTTGCAATTTGTCAGGAATCAGTTGGGCACGTGTGGGTCCATTTCTGAGTTTTCCATTCAGTTCCATTGATCTGTGTGCCTATACCTTTGCTGATACCACACTGTCTTGATTACTATAGCTGCAGAGTAAACCTTAATACTGGGCAGAGTGATTCTTCCAATTTTATTTTTCTTTGTTCAGATTGTTTTAACTATTCTAGGGCCTGCACCTTTTCACATAAATTTTAGAATAAGCCTGTCTGTTTATAAAAAACTTTTCCATGGTTTTGATAGGAATTGCATTAATTATAGTTGAAATTGCATTAAACCAATAGATCGTAACTTGCTGAGATTATTTATCATGAATAGGTATTGGATTTCTCAAATGCTTTTTTTTTGCATTGCTTGACATGACCATATGATTTTTCTTCTTTAGCTTACTAATAATGATTGATTACACTGATTGTTTTTCTTTTTTTTTTTTTTTTAAGATTTTATTTATTTGCGAGAGAGAGAGAATGAGAGACAGAGAGCATGAGAGGGAGGAGGGTCAGAGGGAGAAGCAGACTCCCTGCCGAGCAAGGAGCCCGATATGGGACTCGATCCCGGGACTCCAGGATCATGACCTGAGCCGAAGGCAGTCGCTTAACCAACTGAGCCACCCAGGCGCCCTACACTGATTGTTTTTCAAATGTTGCGTACCTTGAATGAATCTCACCTGGTCATGATCTATGATTCTTTTCATATATTTTGGATTCTGTTTGTTGATATTCTGGTTGAGGATTTTTGCCTCTAAATTTATGAGAAATATTGGTTTACACTTCTATTTATTGTGCTGTTTCTGTCTAGTTTTGGTTTCAGGGTAGCACTGCCTTCATAAAATGATTTAGAAAGCCTTTGCTCATCTTCTATTCTCTGGGAGAGATTATATAAAGTTGGTGTTAATTCATCCTTAAATGTGGGTATAGTTCTCCAGGAAAACCATCTAGAAGATTTCATATTCTTGGAGCTTTTAAATTAATAATTAAAATTTTCATAGCTATAGGGCAATTCATATTATCTAGTTCTTTTTCAAGTCTAGTTGGTTTACAGTGTTATTCATGTTTTCCATTTACTTGCTGATCTTCTGTTGTTGTTGTTTATCAATTATTGAATGTGGGATATTAAATCTCCAACCATTTTTTCAGAAGTGCCAATTTCTCCCTTCAATTTTATCAATTTTGATTCATATATTTTGGGACTTCAGGTGTATATATGTTTCTAATTGTAATTGTTTTATATTCTTACCAAATGACCCTTTTATCATTATATAATATCCTTCTTTGTCTCTTATAAAAACTTCCCTTAACTGGTACTAGTATATTCCTCCAGTTCTCTTTTGGTTATTGTTTGCACAAAATATTTTTTTATTCTTTAATTTTCAATCTATTTGTCTTGGAATCTAAAGTGAGTAACTTCCATATAACATATAGTACAATTATGTTTTTTAATCTGTTCTACCAATCTCTGTTTTAATTGGAGAGTTTAATCCATTTATATCTAATGTAATTAGTGATAAGGAGGAACTCACTTCTGCCATGTTGCTTGTTCTCTTTATGTCTTACACCTCTTTTGTTCCTCATTTCCTCCATTACTGCTTTTTTTGTGTGTTAAATAGATATATTCTGTATACCATTTTAATTCCCCTGTTGCTACTTTTACTATATATATTTTTGAGTTATATTTTTAGTGGTTGCCCTAGGCATGTCAATTAACATCTTAATTTATAACAATCTAATTTGGATTAATGCCAACTTTATTTTAATAATATAAAAAAATGTTTCTCCTGGGTCACTCTGTTCCTCTCCACCTCTGCCCCAAGAACTCCCTTTTGAAGCTGTCTGATCCCTTACTTTTTAGGAAGTAATTAAAATTTTTTTCCCAATTTATTCAATGGATAGTCTTCTATATTTAATTTTTAAATTGTTATTTTTTATTGTTTTTTACTTGTTGAATAAACTTCACAATTTGTTTTAAAACAACTTTAGATATTAGAATATATTATTAAGATACATGTTTATATTTTTTAATTTTAATTTTTAAGTTGTGATAAAATATACATAACATTTTAATCATT